CAAAGGACACTTCTAGCCCCGGATTTATGAGATTATTGAAAGGAAAAATGATGTTAAGAGTTATTTGAATAGACAAATAAAGTTCTAAATCAAATTGGTGGATACTCCCTGGATTCGTTATCCGTTCTAATTACGAAATAATAGGACAACTCGGCACAGATAAGCTTAGAATTTATTTTGTGACAATTCCGTACTCTTGGGCATATCTGTTTGTCATGGACAAAAATGACCTAAGGAATTCTGACAGTTTATTTAACATCCTCACACCCTTATTTCAATCTTGAAATGATCTCGCTGAAGTTTAATAATGCAACTTAATTGAATTCCCTTTAGTGATAGACAAAAAGATATGGAGATCGGTTTCACAAAAGTCATGAATACCAAAAGTAAAGAATTTATCTGCTGTGAAAATACAAAGTTTACAAAATGACAGATGTAATAAATTGATTTTACTCACACCATTGAATTTAACTTCTCTTGTGAATGGGAGACCCATTTTTTTCGATTTTGCTTGTTTGTTGTTTTTTAAAAATATATATGTACAAGTATTTCCAAGATTATTTATGAAGCCTTGCATATACGTATTTCCTAAAAGTTTGATAAAGGTATATTGTTTGAAAATGATTCGCTGGATTGAAAACTGTAAGTATTGAGGGTAATGAAGTCTGGTATCACCAACAACAGCAAAGTTTAAGTCAAAACATTTTAAATAATTATTGTTGAATATAAGTAACCTTATATATTCTTGGCATTCGTGTATATTAAGCTGCAAATTAGGTCCTCCCTACAGATAAACATTTACCTCCCTTCCCTTGCAAGGGCAACAACTCCAGGGCCTTGAGGGTTTCGTATTTTGTTAACCAGTGTGCTTGCTCAGAGTTTGTCGTTTAGCAAATATTCAGGTAGGTTTATAGAAATGAGGCAGAGAGGATTGGCTACTCTGAGAAAGCCAGCTGATGTACTTGTTTACTGATGTACACTGTGTATAGACGTGCACTTTATAATTAGCTTCCAAGGACACTCTTGGCGATACGGGGCAATTTTCATCTAAATCAGGAGAACGTTCGACCACAATGGGACATCAAATGCAATTACCCCAAATTCGGGATCTGGCAGTTGACAAAATGAGAGTTGATTTATTTGTATGTCTGCTCAGTTATATCATCGTCCAAACATAGTTTTCAATGTCCAAAAGAAAATCCTTGCAAGTCACAAGGGGATATGTTTTCCAAGGTTTGGCTCAATGTTGATGTTTTGATGGCCAGGCAGTCTCTATATCTATGAACATAACAAAGTAAAAAAAAAAAAAAAAAAAAAACACCCCCCCCCCCCCCAAAAAAAAGGGGGAAAAAAACAACCAAACAAAAAACAAACAAAATATTAAAAAAATAACAAAACAAAAAACAAACAAGCAAACATTAAAAAATAAGAGGAATCCTCACATTTCTGAGTTTTGTTATTTAATGGGACAAAGACTAAACAGAGAAAAAAATCGAACACGTTTTCCCTTTTGGCCAAAACAATGGTTTTTCTGGTAATTACAAAGTTCAGAATCTTATCACAAGAACAAAGCTTATTGAAAAACAATATGATGACATGGCGACGTCGCCAACTCTATCGCCAAAGAAAGGATCAATTCAAGCAAAGTATCTTGTACAGTAATAAATTCAGGTATCAATAGAATAACAGGGTTCATTCGACTCTGACGCGTGATGAGTTTCACCCAGGACGGTTGTCCTTTGTAGTCATCCGAGATCCTTTTTGTAATGAAGTCTTTGTTTACCAACATGCGTGTTTAGTGCATGTTGTTGAAAGTGATGAAATTTTAAATAATTATTCTATTTAAATTTTTTTTAGTGTATATCATACGGAAGCCGGTTGATGCCAGGTAGAAAAAATATTTTATTTGGCGGCCGCCAGATAACTTTCTGGCGGCCGCCAAATAATTATCTGGCGGCCGCCAGATAAATAACTGGCGGCCGCCAGAAAGTTATCTGGCGGCCGCCAGATAAAAAGATCTGGCGGCCGCCAGATAAATTATCTGGCGGCCGCCAGAAAGTTATCTGGCGGCCGCCAAAACTTATCTGGCGGCCGCCAAATAATTATCTGGCGGCCGCCAGAAATTATGTGGCGGCCGCCAGATAACTTTCTGGCGGCCGCCAGATAAGTTATCTGGCGGCCGCCACATAATTTCTGGCGGCCGCCAGATCTTTTTATCTGGCGGCCGCCAGAAAATCATTTGGCGGCCGCCAGATAACTTTCTGGCGGCCGCCAGATAAGTTTCTGGCGGCCGCCAGTTATTTATCTGGCGGCCGCCAGAAAGTTATCTGGCGGCCGCCAGATAAAATATTTTTCTACCTGGCACCTACCGGCTTCCGTACTATCAACCACGTGTTTTATTTAATTTCATTGTCATGAATATGTAAAATAGGTAAGGTATCTTTTGAAAATGAATAAATTACATCTTTTAAAATATATTTATATATATATGTAAATTTTTAAGGTACTTATAGTAGAGAGAGAGGAAACTCATATAGATTACTTCAAATAATCAAAACATTGATTGCGTATAAAGAAAATCAAAAAATTAGAATATCTTTTATTTTTTTGTCGCCCCTTACTTTTGCCTTAAAATTAGGGAACCACTATTGACTCATCGTCCCAAACCAAATCCTCTCCCATTCTAGAGAAAGTGTGGATCAAATGCAGACACTGGACATGGCTTGAGACGAAGCAATTGACAAAAATTCGTATTACATTGAATTCTTTAAGCCATGCATTTGACCTTGGAATTTCTAGTCGAAAGGGGTGTTTAAAGTATATGCATAGGGGTTTAGTCCATTTTTGTTACTAAACAATTGAATATGACTTTCGGAAATAACACGGGCCCTTGTGAAATTTTGCTTCCAAACGCTTCATAGACTATAAGCAATACAAAGACCTGCTGCAAAAATTCACACAAGCCTATACGTTTCTGACAGACAAAAATCAAACCTTTCCGTAAAGGTTTTTTACAGTTCATTAACCTTTGAAAGAATCATTTTGACCTTGATCTATGTATGACAGTAGTATACTAAATTGGTTTATAATTTCAAGATAGTTTTCCGGATATATAAGGAAAAAAACACCATATTTAGATTGATAACCTTGTATACGTACAAGTATATCAACTGCAAAGGTTCCCGTCACGCTTGAGTATAAAAGTGTTCAAGTTCTTTTAAATAATTTAGGCATTTTGAATGAATCTCATGTTACCTGAAAAAAGTGAACACCTCTTGACTTTTAATGAGTATAGAATTACCCCCCCCCCTTTTTAAAGGCATTTTATTACTTGATTGATATATATAGGACATGGTATTGGTACTGTTTTTTATGTATATCTCGGAGTAGGAAAAACCTGGCTTCGTGGTATAGGGCTGTAGGTGTATTTAGTCTTTTTCTGGGATTTTGTTGGTCACCCTGTTCTGTAGGTAATCCCTACAGGACTCAGTGGAAATGTTAGTTTAACTGACTTAAAAACCACAGATTTATTTTAATACTACTTTGAATACTATTTCTGATTTTATAGTAAAATAAAAGTTCATTTTGTGATATTTTAAATTAAAACAAGAAGGAAAAGTATTATATAAAAACGCTGTAATTTCCATCTATGGAGAAAAAAATGAGACAATATTTTATATTCAATCAATACTGTCAGCAGAAATAGTAGAATTTCTAAGGCTTTGGTCTCGCATTGAAAAAGGGACCCCACGTTATCTACTGTACAACGACATCCAATTTTACACCGGAAAAGGATATTCTATTTGGTTGGAAAAAGCAGTTATCAATGATTTTTCTTCTGCATCATTCGCTTATATTTCTTTAATAAAAGTACAACGTATGAATACCCGCCCACTAGTATATGCCAGGATTAATAACTTGAATCTTTTTTTCTGGTTTGTTTCTGAAGCATAAATGTATAATCATTAATACTCATAATTAACCATACCAAAAATCTCTTCTGGCGATCTCTGATAATTTCTTTGGGTCTCAAGAATGCGGAAGAAATGACTTAATTTTCGTGTGATGATACAGCGATACGGCTATGCCAATACCCGATCCAATACGTGAACAGACAACTCGCCCACCTCATAAAATCAATAAGAAATGATTTTTTTCATATGGGGACAACAAAAATAGTTTTTTTTTCAGTTTTAAGGGGGTATGAGTAGATGGTGGTAAGAGATTGAGGCTGCATGACTCAAGACCTTTACTGTGTCTAGAGTACCTTAGTGAGTTTTTGGTACCTTTAATTATTCATTTTTAGGAGGGGGAGGGGGTGATAAGTCATGCAATTCATTTTCAATGAAAAAGAATGTTATTTATGTAAAGCTAATTGCTCCCATATCTAAACACATGTAACAATGAGCTATAGAGATTTTTGTGAAATAATGTTATCTGATTTAAGATCTATCAGGGTTGAAATAAAATGTAAATGTTGAAGATAACAAAGGGTAACCAATTTACCTTTTTGTAAAGAAAGAATCCAATTTATGTGTGTGTGTGAGTGGGGGGGGGGGGGGGTTACATTTACAGTGTTTATATCGAAAGCATTTTTAACACTATATCGTTAATCATAGTGAGAAATACAGTGATTTTTTTTTAATGTTTTAATTTATTTATCACAGGCACTTGATGTTTTAAACCTTTCTCTATATTGGTAAAAATATCCCCATACAATAATAATAACGTTATTATTTTCAAAATGGGAATATTTTTACCAATATAGAGAAAGGTTTAAAATGTGATATATGTATTTATTTTTTATATTTTCCCCCTGTTCCAACGCGAACCTCTCTCTCTCATTCTCTCTCTCGTCTCGGCGAAACACGTGGGCTTTGTTTATAAACAAATTTGTCCTTCACATTAACTTTATCTCTTCCAATCATGTTGCGTGATTTGTAGGTGTGTCACTTCCGGGAAGACAATCCAGCTGATTCCGGTTAAGTTCTGCAAGGTAATGAACTTTCTACTTATAACTGTTTTTTTCCGAATCTTGTATGCATAAGCTAATTTACAGGAACAAGAAACCTATCGAGGTCCTCAAACTTCTTTGATATAGAGAGTGTTAAGCTGGAAACTCTGGGTTAAGATAGATCGTCGGATCTTCTTGAAACGTGACCTTAGGTCGTTGACTCCAAGAGCTCTGGTTGTTGGACATTCACAACGGTGCAGCGTGCCATACTTTTGATTTTTCTGCATCTGGAATAAAAAGCTGAGAGTAAGTATACTTACGTCACTATTCAGAAGAGGTATGTTTTATCAAATTCTTTATGTTATTTATTTGAATTTGTGTCTACACATTCTCCGGGGGGAAAAGGGGGGGGGGGGTACATACTCCTCCTCCACGTTTAACCCATAGTAACAAGCTGATTGGTATATGTGAAGGACATGACATTATACATACTTATTAAAATTCTCTAGTCTGATAATGTCCTTGATAGTAATTTTCTACTGTACAAGTTTTACAATCTTAATTTGTTTGTTACTGACTGTCAACAGAAATAGGAAGGGTTGTTTAAGTCCATTCAAGGTGAGGTGAAGCCAAGCCTTCTATAGACTTGAACAACCTGTCATATTTCTGCGGACAGTCAGTAACCAACCTAATACTTTATTCTCTTTAGAGAAGTGGACAGGCTTTCGCCTACATCCACTTCTCTTCGCAAGCCTTCATGTTTTGATTCTGGAAAACGTGTAAATCTCGAACCGGTGACGGTCTACACTTCAACTGACATTTCGTCTAAAATACGTCTGAATGTACATAATAGACGTGTTATATTATCAATTTTAACATAAATACACACAATTGTCACAAGAAAACTGACCTTTAAGTATTGTTAATCCATTTTCACAAGTTCTCCATCCCGGATTTAAATTATGTGCAAGTAACTCTTGAAGTATTCAAAAATCTCTAATTCGGATAAAAATGGAAACTATTTTTACAAAATAATAATGGAACGAGAGAAATCGTCTACTCTGTTTAAACTAACGAGACAGTATTTCCTCAAGTTTCGTTCAAATTCTTTTGATCTTTGTTTTAAATCTTTTTTCATTTCTCGGGAAAGGTAGAGTTAATATCGTTTAAAAATAAAAGAAAATATTTTTTAGTATTTTCAGTGAGGAAGTAATGAAGTATTTTTTAAGTTCAAATTTACATTTAAATTGTATTAAAATAGTAAAAATAAGTATAGGTAATAATATTTATCTTGAATAATATGCTAAATCAAAAGTGAATTGTCCAAAACATTTTTTGAACATTAAAATACGTCTTCGCCAATTTTTCCAAATTATCCGACTTAAATGGATTAACAATACTTAAAGGTCAGTTTTCTTGTGACAGTTGTGTGTATTTATGTTAAAATTGTTAAGATAACACGTCTATTACGTACATTCAGACGTATTTTAGACGAAATGTCAGTTGAAGTGTAGACCGTCACCGGTTCGAGATTTACACGTTTTCCAGAATCAAAACATGAAGGCTTGCGAAGAGAAGTGGATGTAGGCGAAAGCCTGTCCACTTCTCTAAAGAGAATACCTAATACTTGTGTACTTGTTTTGTTTTGTCGATGATCAATAACAGTTAACAAACCTACACCGAAATCAATTTGGATAAAGGATTTTCTTGTCTGTGCACTCATCATCTTGTTGTTTACTTAATTACATCTCTGAAAAGGGATGCTACTCTAAATTTAATCTCAGTATTGCCAAATCGGTAAGGTGTAAATATATCAGTTTCTTTAAGGTGAAAATAACACTAGGATGATTTTTTTTCTGTAAATTTGGATGTCATAAAATTTTAGTTTATTTCACCATGTTGCCATACAAATTTTGCTAATCACCATTCAAAGAAATATTGAAGGCAGGACATGTGATGTCTGCTATCCAATGAGGGAGTTTCATTCTAGTTCAAGGCAAAAGAAATGTATATATAATTTCCTCTCTGAAACTACTGCAAACTGTCAACATTTTGAAGTTACAAATCCTAGCAGACACCTGAAACTTTCAAACAAGATTTTACAGTAAAAATGTTAAAACACATATTCTAGAAATTAAATGAAATTCTTGGATATGATTATCGTAAAAAATGATCCACTTATATCTATATGTTGAACATTTTCATATTTATTTAGCATACATGTATATATTGTTAAAAGGTGTGTACATTTTTTTAGGCCTAATTTTTCAATGAGTGCAGACCAGCCCATACTACCCATTGTTATACATGAAGAGCATCACATTGAAGGTGAAAGTTTGGAGGAGAGTAAAAGATCCCATACGGTTGATGCCGCCATAGATTTTATAGGGGGAACAAACGGTAATTAAGTTATGGTGTCATTTACATGTAAATGCTTCAGAATTATATATACAATATAGGGAATAACTATCTTCTCATTTGTCATTTGAGACCGTTATTGCTGATTTAACGATTGGAACCTGAGTTTTACCGGCGAAATGTCACTACATATGGACTACTTAGAGAAGATCAAGGGTGAATCTTGCTAAGTAAATCTTACTTCATAAAAATTTCATTGTATGGGAAATTTTAGTAAGTCATGTTTTTGTTCATTTCATATATATGGGAGAACTGAAAATCAAACTGCTAAATAATTGATAGTGAGAAATATTGCTATTAACAGTCATGCTATACCTGGATCTGTCGCGATATTTTACAGGGACAGTAATCAATTGTTGATCCCCCCTGCTGACGCATATCTTATCCTGTCAGAAATATTTAAATCATTTTTTTTATCTGTTGGAAAGACAACAAGACAAAACTAAATCGACAAACTAATTATAAAACTGAAAATGATAGAAAAATTCTCATCGGAGCTTTATTTGTGGTGGGAGAAATGGTTACCGAGTTGATACTTGTGTATTCATCTATGGATGGAAAAAGGGATGGGTTTAGTTTTTCAGTCTGTGAACAGAAATTGAAAAATACCTGTCTGTGTAAAAAAGATTCTGGATCAGCAATCAAATTGATAACCCCAAAAATAAAAAAATAAAAATCCCAACCTAAAGGATGATCTGCTTGATTGTACCTGTAGATACCTGATAAATGTCTCATTTGCATTTTTATCAATGCAAATACTGCATTTATTCATTCCCAGCTTTCCCAGTGATGTCAACGGTCATTATAATATATCTGTCTGAAGATCTCTTATGCTGAATGGAATTTTTTTATGACTTCATGATTAGAATTATCTCTCAACTAACATAATTATGGGAAAATAACTGTGCCTTGGAACAGTTATGAAATCTATAGATGGCCTTTAATATTAAGGCCAAAAAAAGAAATTAATTCACATTTGTAGACAAGATTCATAATTCTTCAACTTGCTTAATAAGGTGTGATTTCTCCTTTATCTATAGAGCTTGTGTATAGAATTTGAGCAGTTGTTATCAAATGATTTCTGAATAAACTGGGACCAAAGATTTGAAAATACCTGGTAGGTGGAAGGGTAATTTGAAAAAAAAAATTAAACAAGTTGCTTTAATAATCTGAAAACAAGTTTCCAATGAAACTGCTCACATAAGTAATTTCTTAAAATTTTTAGATAAATCACTAGCAGAAAATGAGCTGTATATTATTTTGTATGTATCACATACTTAGTGGTGAATACGCTGATTCTGCAGTGTGCAATACGAGTGATGTCACAATACCTCATATCAATGTCCAGTCTGAAAACCTGTATCAGACAGGCATGCAAAAATCCATATCTAACCGGATGTATATATATTTAGATAAAAAAATAATATATTTGACTTCTGTTGCTTTCTAAAAACTGGGGGCGAATTGTCTTAACTGGGGGCGAGTTGTCCTGAATTGGGGGCGAGTTGTCCTGAATAGGTGGCGAGTTGTCTCGGGGGGCGAGTTGACCAGCATTCCTAAAACTCATATCATATGTCATATCAGCCCTCATGCTGATATGGGGCCCGAGGGCTGATATGTTATGGATTTTAGTATGTAATATTCTCTATTTATTGACACTTTTCAAAGTGAGTGTTATGTGAACTTCCGTTGACACAATGCTTAAAAATTAATTGAGGATATTGTGAACAAAGAAATCCGGAGCGCTATGAATTGCATCCGGTCTATTGGGTGTAGTCTATATATATATATATATATATATATATATATATATATATATATATATATATATATATATATATATATATATGTATATATATATATAAAAAGCACTTTACCAGACTACACCCGATAGACCGGACGCAATTCATAGCGCTCCAGATTTCTTTGTTCACAACTGTTTATAAACTCCAAATTAAACATGTAACATTGTAAATATTTAGTGTTTGGTAGTTTAGTAGTAGTGCTAGTTGTTTTTGCTTCTCTATTTCCTTTGTTTTTATGACTTCTTAACTTTTTTCTTTGTCCTGAGGAAGGGACAGGTTGTCCCGAAAATTTGACAATTATTATTGTTCGTGTCGTTGGTCATTTTTAGTGCTTTATATAAAGAACTATATACGGTAAGGGCGTATTCCTGCCCCCATAATAGTCAAATTTTGAAAATCCCTTGAAATGAGAAAAAGTGCATATATTGTATAAAATAATCCAAATTAAGACAATATATTATGAAATTAGAAAAATTAGTTGGCTTTTCTTGTCTCTGTGACGTCACAAACTATTTGGATTTCCGTTATTTTTAAAATAGAGGCCAAAATGCACAGAGTTTGTTCAATTTTGACTGTAGTATTTATAGAGCGCAAGCTTGCTCAGGTACCATATTCACATATTTCATTGATATTATCATTCTACACATTATATCAAAAGATCTAGTCTGAGCAGACCTGCGCTCGATAATTTCCAATCAAAATACCGACGTAAAATACGCTATTTTCTCTCAAAATCATTGCAATTAGGAATTTACGTCATTTTATTGACGTCATATTTAACTAATGATGTCATAGTTGATAAAAATATTTAATGCTTTGAAGTCTGCAAATATCCACCTGGTTTAGAACATAATTAAAGACTTCTCCATCAAAGTTTTATTTTGGGGGCAGATACTGGCCACTACAGAATATAGTCCTTTCCATCCGTGACCTTGTATCTACTTAGTAGATCCGACACTTAGGATATGCAGTGTTGTTGGTTTTTAGTGCTTTATATATATATATATATATATATATATATATATATATATATATATATATATATATATATATATATAAAACATTGCTGTGACGCAGTGATTCATTTTGATGTGCGTCCTGCGTAAATTACGCACAAATTTTGCTCAGGACGCATTATTTCAATAAATGTGCATCCCAATGGACGCAATAAATTTATAGAAGGACATGTACTATTTTAAATTATATCGGTATAATCTGATTCAAAACTTGACCGATTGCATCATATCCACGTGCTAAGCGATATGCATGAACGATTTTAACAGGTATAAGGTTGCCAACAACAGGTCAGATTTCACAACTGCAGTTAAAAGCAATTATCAGAAAATATTTGAAAGTTAGATAGCATAGTTCGATTATCACTGATATGTCTATACCGTGGAACGTTTCTGAAGCGAATACTATACCTTTGTATTTAAGCTGTAACCTGTATCATTGGTTTTTTTTCTTTTCGGTTTTTCCTTACAAGCTAAGAAGTATAAAATTTAATCATTTTTATTTCTGACTATTTGTCATTTCCTCTTAAACTTTTTTTACTTCATTTTGCTTCTGTGCATTTTTATGACTGATACAATGTGTGAGATCGTATGTACGATCTAAAAATAGAACCAAAGTGCACAGTGGACAATGTATTATTTTTATGACACAAAATCATGTACTCTTACTTGGACCATTGATAGTAAAAGTATAAATCATTCACAGCTACAATAAAACATTTGCACTTTCGTGCAATACCCTTTTTCATTTTACCAGAATTTCCTGTGTAACATCTAATATACGGTACCCTACGGTGGCTGCTATAGGACATGGTATGAGAATTTTTTTTATTAATTCGTGGCCACGAAATAAAATTCGTGGGAACGAAATAAAATTCGTGGCCACGAAATAAAAATTCGTGGCCACGAAATAAAATTCGTGGCCACGAATTTTTATTTCGTGGCCACGAATTTTTATTTCACAATTATATGTACATATAGTGTTAAAATGATAATTTGCTATGGACCTAGTGAGAGTCTGTCCCATGACACACAGACACAGTTAGATTATTGTAACTGGCCCGCACTGATAAACATCATTATAAATACCCATATATTTAATTTGCATATATATTAGAAGCAGCTGAGAATTGGTACATGCATTATGAACATAGTCTAGATGTAAAAAACAATAATGATAATAAACTATCTCTTTTGCTCTGTGCCCAAAATTAAAAACAAGACATTCAAGCCGATTAAATTGACTGTTCTGGAGTTTAAGGCAGTTCAATGATACTGCATCCAAAATGACATCCTAACCAAATGATAAAACAAAATGAAAGTGTTCTCTTCAGCTTGTCATCATGCTACATGACACAGCATGAAGTCACGATTTTTTAGATGATATGATACACAGGGACAATTTTATATTAGCCAAGTTATGTATTTTTCTTAACTATAATAACTCTGGCAAGTTTTGTTCCTGATATTAGTCAAGGCAACCCGAACATTAATGACTTTAAGGGCTTATTTGCTGTTTTCTCACATTTTCTATTGAATCCTGTCACATAGTTGTAATGAAATAAAGACACAAAATTTTAGCATGTTAAGAGTATAACTTCTCATGTGAAACATGTTCTACGTAACAGCATCGAATCTCATTGCTCATTACACATATATCCCGTTGGCTCATTCCAATTAAATGATAATTATATATAAGTTCGTTCATCTTGAATGACATAAAACAGAAGAAGCTAAAAATGGCATTATGTAGCACAAATTTATTGCGTGGCCACGAAATTTATTTCGTGGCCACGAATTTTTATTTCGTGGCCACGAAATTTATTTCGTTTCCACGAATTTTATTTCGTGGCCACGAATTTTTATTTCATTCCCACGAATTTTATTTTGTTCCCACGAATTTTATTTCGTGGCCACGAATTTTTATTTCGTTCCCACGAATTTTTATTTCGTTCCCACGAATTTTATTTCGTGGCCACGAATTAATAAAAAAAATTCTCATACCATGTCCTATACCAGCCACCGTAGTACCCTTGGATTTGGACGCATTGATTTTGGCACGGGACTCATTGTTGTCATTAAGAAGGGTCCTTTGGACCCATGATAACCATTTTGAAAATGAATCACTGTGTGACGTCATGCCTTTATTCTTGCAGTCTAAAAATTTACCTGTAGCCGTCCGATAATAATAATTAGCAGTCCAATAATATATTATCGGACGGCAGTGATAACAAAATCGGACAGTAGTTAAAAAACAACAACTAGAGTGAAATCAAGGTTTAATTTGTTCAGAAACCAAAAAAAAAAAAAAAGGTTAGTGAGAAAAAATTCAGGGAATGCGAACGCGAGGAAATTTAGTTGTTAAAGATAGCAAATCCAAGAAGAAACTAGAGTTTTTACCTTCCCTTTCCATTCGGTTTTTTGCAAAGCGTTTTCAATACAGTACTACGAATAAGCCAATTTAAATCCATTTCTGTTAAAGAACCAGTCTGCGAATCTCTTCATTTAACAAGGTTTGTTCGCCAATGACCGCACTTTTAAAACCCAAGATTTTCATTATATCATCCAATCAAAATTATAGATAAAAATCCGCATTTTTACTTTAAATGCATTTTGAAGATATCATCCAACACTGTATCTATATCAATGTCAAACGCACTTAATAAAAAAGACATTCCGAATCATAAAAATATCCTTCATCACCTGACCTAACTGTCCATAGTTCCTGCTAAACCAAACAACTGCCATTGAATGAATGAAACAAAAGAGTTCACTCACTGATTTTACTGTCTAAAGAAAAAAAAAACATTCTCTTTTCTTTTGTCTACTTATTAGATGGTTTCAGGTAGAAAACTATTGATGCCTGAACTCTTATTGTGTTATTATCGGACTCCTCCAGGTAACTTTTGGACATTTAAATAGCAATGTTTTAAGTAAGATATATGCCTCATACAATTGTATATGCAAAATTATCAGACTTTTTTCGGCCCTAACGGGCCTCAAACAGTCTGATAATTTTACATATAGAACAGTATTCGGCATATATCCATTACATATATAGATGCAGTTTCTGTTTATTTGTTTGTTTTGTATAATGGCTATTGTGTCAGTGTACATGTATATGGTTTGTCTTTATAGGGGCCATTGCCTCAGTATATGTTGGTCAGTCCCTGGACACAGTGAAGGTCAAGATGCAGACCTTCCCTCACCTGTACCGGAACGCCCTGGACTGCTTCCTTCAGACGTATCGTCAGGACGGGATCTACCGGGGACTTTACGCGGGGACAGTTCCAGCACTTGTAGCCAACATCGCTGAGAACTCCGTCCTATTCCTGTTCTATGGACTTTGTCAGAAGGTCATCATGACTCTCCGCGGCCGCAGTGATGTGTCCCAGCTACATCCAGTAGAGAATGCATTTTCTGGGAGTGGAGCAGCATTTTTCTGTGCATTTACTCTCACACCAACAGAACTTGTTAAATGTAGACTGCAAGCCATGAGAGAAATGGCATCTCAGGGAAAACTCGAGGGAGGGTTAGAAAGATTGAAAATGTAAGTGGTGTAAAGATCCTAGCTTAATTCTTCTTTTCCCAGAGCCATCTCATAATCAGGCATGTTTATCTGATTTTAGATATTAGAGAAATGCATGATTTCAGAATTATTTAGATTTTTAATGACATTTCAAAACTCTGATGTAGTGATATATAAATATTAGAAAGCATTATTAGAGGTTTCAGAGTGTATCACAAGGCTCATTAGAAACTTATAGTTTTACAACTGTGCAAGTGTAAGACATTTCCTTCTTTTCTAAGAGAGTAAAGCAAAATTTAAAAATATCAAACTTGCCCCAGTTATGCAGGTTTAAATTTAATTTTGGGCAAAGGAAGAACAAAAAATTCATATTCCTTTTAGTTCACCTGAGCTGAAGGCTCACCTGAGCTGAAGGCTCACCTGAGCTGAAGGCTCAAGTGAGTTTTTCTGATTGAAAGGTGTCCGGCCTCCGTCTGTTGTCTGGTGTCTGACATCTGTCTCACTACTGTCATCTGTAAACTTTTCACTTTTTTCAACTTGTTTTCAAAAACCACAGGGCCAAATTCAACCAAACTTGCCACAAAGCATTCTTGGGTGAAGGGGATTCAAGTTTGTTGAAATGAAGGGTCATGTCCTCTTTCTAGGGGAGATAATACAGAATTAGTAAAAATTTAATGGCATTATTCGTGGCTAGGATAAGGCTGTCTGTAAAATATCACAGTGTAACAGCTTTAGTAACTTCTCTGAACTATCTAGATATGACGTCATAATACCATATGACATCAAGTCACTGCAAACTTGAGCTGACATGACAGGGAAAGTGTCATAACTTTGACATTCCTTTCATACGATGTAGAAATATTTTTACTTTGATGTTGAATTCAGGTGTCTGGGTTCTTCTTATAAGCTTCTTTGTGCCGTGTGTAGTGAAGATTTGCAATATCGTTATTCCTTTCTATTGACTATGCATTCCATTCAAACAAAAACTGAAAAGTACCGTAGAATGTGAAATGTTAGATTTATAAATCATGTCTATATAAGACTGGCACAAGTGATAATTAAGGATAAATTGAAGATATTCTGTGTGAATCTATAAGAGAAATATGTCCTTTTACTGAATCTTGCTGGGAGATTGCACTTAAAATAGCCTATTTTGTATAAATTGTGATGAAGAGTGGAAAATGCCCTTGTGTGTGGGTAAGTTGAAGTTCTCATAAAATATCTACTTTAAAGGTAAGATTCAGACTTGCCCGCAGACTTTATATAATTCATTAAAATACAATTAAATGATGTAATAAAGTGTTAACAATATTTTAATTTGTTTATCACTTGTGCCGATTTGATTTTCATACAACATTTAGGAAAAAATTATGTGTCTGTCACATGATCAACAAAGTCATGTGACATCCTAAAAATGCTTTATTATAATACCTGAAAAACTCTTTTTGCAAATTGGCCATACATGTAGTATACATAGGTTATGAATTGAAATTAAAACCTAGCTTGAAATAAAATAGTATGTTTCTAATGCTTATACTAGCATTTGGAAGCCTTAAACATAGCTGCATTTAAAAAGAACCACTTTGCCAAAAAATATGAATCTTATGTGAAACCTTCATTAAATACTTAAAAAATAAGTGCTTGGAACTTCCAATTCACTTTGACATATCCATTGTATTCGAGAAATCAGTATTTGAGATAGCAGAGTTCAACTCTACATTAAAATTTTTCAGAGTTTCTGTGGTAGGATTAGTTTAAGTATCAAAATGGTGACGTTTTTTATATTTGCAAGTGGTTTTTGCATGGTAATGATAGAGTTACACCGTATGATTTTTTTTGCTGGTGGCAGTTTCGGGGTGGGACTGTGTACTGTAAACATAGGTGTGGGATGGTACCTATGGTATTTAGCAAAACCTTTGTAGATTTATCAAAGGTTTTCATCAGAACTGTAGATTTAATGAATACTTAATGAATATTTAACCTTGTAAAAAAGACCAAATACATGCTTGTTATTTACATAGCCTTTTTGTTAGTAGTGATGTCAATATTTAATAAAAAATTAATGTAGACCAAATGTTGTTAATATCAATGTCTTTCAAACTCCCACACAGGAAAAAATCCTGTAATCCTCGAGAGATTATAACAACAGCAGAATTATTATGAATAAAAAAAAAACTCTGCATCAGATAAGCATGATAAGTTCAGTCTGTTTGTCAATGGAGCCTTGCCTGACATGTGTACCCAAGGGGAGAAATGCATTATGTTTGACGGAGACCAAAAAAAATTGTCCCATCAAATAACAAATGTAATGATAGTAAAATACACCAATATGAAACTTTTTTGGCTCTTTACTTAATTTGATGAAATAAGGATTAAAAATTTTTTTAGTAACTGAATATCAGTTTCCGTTTCCAGTGCTTTCATAAAGTAGATGAGGCAAACTTTAAAATAATGTTTGTTTGCCCTTTTCTGACTCGGAATGAAAAAATTGGGCTGGTAGGTAGGTGGGAAAATTTTTTTCAAGAAAATTTCAATTTCAATGCTGAATTTTCAAAATCTATTTTCCAGAATGCATAAAAAATATAAATTGCTTCCTAGAGATTAAAAAAAGTTTTGAGTCGGGCCATTTTTAGCCAGTCAGTCAGGAGAGGGCAACCAAACAGTTTTTTAAAGATGGCCTGATGTAGTTCTGAACTGAACAATAGAAATAAAATTACCAGCCTGCAGTGTTTAAACTGCGCTGTTGTAACTTTTCATTTGTCAAATTACAAGGCCATTGAGGGTTTTATGTTATATTACTTTCTAATTGAGTTAAGTATTTGCATAGTACTTGTCTATTTTACATTTTTTTAATTGGGAAAAGTCATCAATATGGAATGTTTAGAATAACTTAATAATCAAAGTACTGTTAAAGTCAAGTTATAGAGAAGATAATTGTGAAATATATGGGATTATGTATTTTAAGTTGTTTGTGATAGCCATCTGTTTGGAATGTCTGAAAATACATACAGGATTTGGAATGATTTAAGCCATAATCTTTGTAGATTTCCTATTAGTTAAGTGCACATAGTAATGACAATCAGATTTAAAGTTTAGAAAGTGAACTAAATTATTTTGCTTTTGTAAAAAAATTCATTTTTATTTGAATACTCCATCCCCACCCCTTGAAAGACTGTTAAAGATTTCTGTACCTGAGTTATCTAGCTAAATAACTTTTGAAATTTTTATTGTAAAAGCTAGAAACTAGTTTGTGTTGTTTAGGAACCTTTAAAAAATCTATTTTTGTCAAAATTTTTATGATATGCATGAGGTTGACCATCTATTGTAATTTACATTTATAAGTTATTTGTTAGACTTCTTAATTGAACAGTCTGCTACATTTTCTAATTCACAAATGCAATATCAGGCATTTAACTATATTTTAGAAATTCATTAAATGAGATTTTTGTAGTAAATGAAGCAAATTGAAAATCATGAGTAGAGGAATTTTCTTTCTTTTTTTCCAATTTTAGAGGCCCATGGGGAATCACCAAAGAAATTCTACAGGTTGAGGGAATACGGGGAATCTTTAAGGGTCTGACTTCCACAATGGCCCGAGAAATGCCGGGATATTTCTTTTTCTTTGGTGGATACGAGATAACGAGACAACTACTGACACCACAGGGGAAGACCAAAGACGAGATAGGTAAAGCTTAGAAGATCCTTCTTAGTATACAACCAGTGTAAACTAATACCTCAGAATACAAGTAATATCACCTATTACCCTCAGTATACAGCCAGCATCAACTAGCTATCAAAAGTTCCTGAGCTCATTCATGTTGAAGTGGTTTATCTTTCCAAAACTGAATTTTTGGGTGTTTCTCTATGGTTGAGGTAGAAATATTGTAACTAGTGTAAACTGTAGTGCTCAAAATTATTTAACGTTTCTTTTCTTGTTCTTCGAGAAAAATTGTTGATATAAATGTTAAATATACTTTATGTACTTCTTTTCCAGGTCCTGCCAGGACTATTGTAATTTTTAGCTGTACTACGTGTATTCTTTTTCCAGGTCCTGCCAGGACTATTGTAATTTTTAGCTGTACTACGTGTATTCTTTTTCCAGGTCCTGCTAGGACTATTGTAATTTTTAGCTGTACTACGTGTATTCTTTTTCCAGGTCCTGCCAGGACTATTGTAATTTTTAGCTGTACTACGTGTATTCTTTTTCCAGGTCCTGCCAGGACTATTGTAATTTTTAGCTGTACTACGTGTATTCTTTTTCCAGGTCCTGCCAGGACTATTGTAATTTTTAGCTGTACTATATGTACTTTTCTAGGTCCTGCCAGGACTATTGTAGCCGGTGGAGTAGGAGGAATGTGTTTATGGTCGGCCGTTTTTCCAACTGATGTCGTCAAATCTAGGATACAAGTAGAAAGCACTGTGGGTAAAAAGGCTCCAGGATTCCTCGTCACCTTCAATAAAATTCTCAAAGCAGAAGGTCAGTACTGAGTGCATGTGTTTGATAAATCTGTTAACATCTCTAGAGTATCTATTATAGATAAGAATATTTTCTAAAGATATAGTTTCTTTAAAAACAACAACTAGAAAAATATTGTAAAATTTAATTTCAGTAATCAATAAGCTGCATTTCATTGTAGCCTAGATAAGACAAAGACATTTCAGATTTTGAAAACCTGCTCCTTTTTAGCTATTCTTATAAAAGATTAAGGACCTTTTATTGTAAGTTAATTAAGCATCACATTACATCTTGATTTCATTCAAAGAACAGTACTTCACACAGTAATATGTGTATGTTATACTATTATCCTTGACCTTGTACCTTTTTGCCCTGAAATTCAAAGCCTTCTTCCACAGTGTGGCACACATCTCTGTAGCAAATATGTGAAAGAAAGAACAAGTGCTCTTCCTTAAATTGTGTCCACAATATATGTCTGTCTTTGACTAAACCTTGACCTTTTGACCCTGAAATAAATATAGCCTTTTTTCTTCCAACCTGTGTCTCTGCAACAAATATGAGTCTTAAGTGTCCACAACTCAATTCACATGTATCACGATCTTTGATTCTGCACCTTTGTTCTTTAAACTCTTGTGTCATCTTGTGTCATCTGACAAGCTAAGGGTTTTCAGTCTCCTCTGCCCCCTACAAACCCTTTGCAGTTACACCACTAAAAACTGTGGCTGATATGTTGTTTCTTCCAAGCTAGACCCATGCAAGCAATGAGAAGACTACTTTCATGTCGCATTACGTCATTTAAAAAAACTGTTACCTGATTGGCTGGAATCTACCAGTCAAATAGTACTCCACATATTGTAAACATGACAATGTTGGGGACATATGAATGCTTACATGGAGGCACATGTGAACCACACGTGTGACTGGTCAAACGGGGATACTTATTCCTCCTAGGCACCTGATCCCACCTCTGGAGTTTCCAGAGGTCCGTGTTTTATGCCCTCCTCACAGAATTGTCTTGTTTATAGATTTCTTGAGATGGATCACCATTTGTTATCTTCACCTTTGTCATTTCTGAAAAATTAGTGAAAAATTAGTGAAAAATTAGTGAAAAATTTCTCAAGTTGCTAGGGAGTAATTAAGAAATATTAGATTGAATTTTCTCAGCTGCCAGGAATATTCCACCTGCAAGCTGTTGCATTTTAGTAATAATAGCAAACATGTTTATCAAGGTATAAAAAAAAAATTGATATACACTATTGTATAGTTTGATGAAATTTGTTTACATGTTTGTCATATTTTATTCAAATCAGAAATTTTTAAAAAGAATTTAGATACATTTCTAAAGTTTATTTTACTTTTAGTAAAAGCAGTACCAGTGTTCCTAGTAATTTTGACTAAGAGCCCATGGTGCTTAGTGGTCATTTTGACATACTCTCTGCACATTTATGAATGATATGCTAGTAGATAAAGCTATTTGATTTCTTTTTGTCAAAGATGATGAAAAAAAGGTGAAGGTACCAAAAAGTGATCAATCTTGAAAAAAAACTTCAAACAATACAAAGTTGTGAACAGAGCATAAAACATGGACCCCCAGAAATTCCAGAGGTGGGATCAGGTGCCTAGGAGGAGTAAGCATCCTGTGTCGACTGGTCACACTTGCCATGGGCCCTATTTATCTGGTAGATGGAATATTTCATTGTCAAATTTAGTATAAAAACAAAGGCCTAACAATTAGTAAAGTATGTCAGTCAAAATACGACCCAATGATAGGTTATCTGCTTGCAAGGTCATTATAATGACCATAGAATTTAAGAAGTGATTTGGATATGTATGATCATTGGGATAATTATGGTAAAATATTCAGCAAAAATCCCTTTTCAGTAACAGGAAATCTCGAGTGAAAAAAATTGTGTGTCTAGGTGTCAATCATTTAAATGAACTCATTATATAAAAACAAGATCTGTTTAGCAATTTATTTTTCCTTGACCTTCAGACAATGTATTTAACCTTGAAACAAAACCTGCAAAAATGTTTGATATGACATAGCAGTTTACTATTTCCTTGAATGTATATAAATACCCCAATCTGATAAAAATAACTGTTGTAGGATGTTATATCATATACAACATTATTTCTGTTTTATGAATGAAGAATACATGAGAGAGAAAATCCTCAAAAAAGTCATTTTGCATCAACATTGTAATTTCCCCGATGACTAAACCTACAAAGAAGAGTATCGTAAAGCCAAGCCTTGAGTTTAATCATTTCACTGTTCTGTCATTAGCTAATGCAGCTTACATTTTCCCCAGAACAGTTTGGTACTTTCTGTCTTTGGTAGTTCCCTATACATTGATAATGGCCTAACTTGAACTAAATAACCTTAAACTTTTGTACAATTGTAAATAATATTAAACTTTTGTACAATTGTAAATAATATTTAATTTTAGGCCATTTCAATGTTTTTCTATATTTACTGTCCACCCAAAAAATCAACAACCTATCTCTCTCAGGTCAAAAAAATCAGCAGGAAAAAAAAACACAATAATTTTGATAAAAGTTTATCATGATCATCAGAGAATTTCCTTTATAATGTAACAGAAATAACTTAAAGTATAGTTTGCACACTGACAACTAAACTTAATGATAAAAGTTTGTTGTGATCATATATTGTTATTAACTGGGATTTAATTCTGCAAGTGATAATCCAACATATACTCATAGTTCCCTTTCTAAGGATGAAATTCTTCAAAATCATATGTCAGTTTTAAATATTTTTAATATTCCCAACAATCAAATTGACTTTGAATTACCATACCTATACTGGATTCCTAAACTACATAGAAATCTTTACAAACAAATATATATAGCGGGTTCGCGTAAATGTTCTTCCAAGCCTCTTTTTTTACTCCTCGCTAAAATATTAACAGCAGTGAAGGAGAAACTTCATGAGCACTGCACAACACTATATCAAGAAGTGGTGTAAAGCAGGTGTGGATACTTAAAAATTCCAAGGAACTTTTAGAAAAAATTTGAAATCACAAAATTTTAACAAAATCAATAACATCAAATCATATGACTTTTCAACACTTTATACAACCATTCCTCATAAAGTCCAGGCTTTTTGAAATCATAGACAAATGCTTTTTCAATAGAATTGGAACTCATGAATTTACTTACCTTGCCATTGGTCATTTGCAAAATTATTTTGTTAAAAACATTTTGATTGTAAACACAAGTACTCAGAAGTTGGTATTAAGAAAATAATTAAGTTTCTGATTGACAATATCTATGTAGTTTTTGAAGATCAAGTCTTCCAACAATCTGTCGGAATTGCTATGGGTGCTAATTGCGCCCTGTTATTAGCAGACCAATTTTTGTATTCATATGAAGCAGAATTCGTTCAAAAACTTCTAATGAAAAGAAGTCTCTTGCTGTGACCTTCAATTCAACATTTAGATATATCGTCGACGTTTTATTAATTAACAATATTGATTTTCATTCTTACGTTTTTTCCATATATACCAAGGAACTCAGAATAAGACATACCACAGAGTCTGACACATCTGTTTCATATCTAGATATTTTACTAGAAAAAGACGTTAATGGTAACCTAGCAACAAAACTTTATGATAAATGTGATGACTTCAACTTTTCTATCGTCAACTTTTATGTAGTAACATACCATTATCAATTGCATATGGAGTTTATGTCTTCCAGTTGATTCGATACACAAGAGCATGCACTACGTACGAATAATTTCTAAAACGAAGCAAATTATTGACAAATAAGATGATGAAAAAGGGTATCAACAGTCTCGATTAAAGTCAGCATTTTGCAAATTCTATGGTCGATACAATGACCTTGACAGCAAATACAAACTATTGTCAAGTCGAATGCTGACTGATGTTTTTGTTAGGCCATTATTTTCACACCGATATGTCTAGGGAATTTTCCTTTTGCCCGATAATGACAAAGGAGCACACGGCAGGTGTGAACGGTCGACAGGGGATGCTTACTGCTCCATGGCACCTGATCCTACCTATAATGTTTTTAGAGGTCCGTGTTTGCTCTCCTCCAAATTTGTATTGTTTAAGGGACTTTTGAGTATGATCACTGTTTGTTATCTTCACATTTCATATGCAAATCTCAATCTCGAGCCCAAAACTTTAAAACAATGATGTCATCATATCTCTACCAATTGATCCAAAAGCAATACAAATTTTTGTCCAAAAAAGTAAATAACCATTGATGTCATTATTTGTACTTTGATTATCTGTTAGTGGTATTTAAGTTTTTGGATGTAAAGCTATGTAAGGGTATCAAGCGGCTCCAGTCTATTTTCTCTGCACCAGATAACTTTTTCATGTTGAACACCTAATCTCATGATAATATCGTAAATAACAAAGGACTTCTAGTGTTATTAAACATCATTCAAAAGTTTTGTAAATGATGTATCATCTTATTTTAAACAATACAATATGCATACAGAAAAAACGTGTCTTGATTGATATTTTTACGTTTTGTAGCTATGGAACTTAAAGATTCGTATCTACGCATATCTAATATACACATCTAGTACATGTATTAAAAGCTTAAAAAACACATTCTTGACGTGACTTGGACATTATTTCTGAGTTACTTAGTGTATTGACTATTGCTATGTACCCAGAACATGACTTCTACTGACAAACCCTAAAGCCATATTATATCTTGACGTGCAGGTATAATTGATTCCAGTTTGTATTTTTTTTTCAGGTCCTAAAGCATTGTACAAGGGCCTTGGTCCGACATTAGTGCGAACCTTCCCGGCTACAGGATCACTGTTTTTAGCCTACGAAACTACTAAAAAATTCTTAACTAACATGGCCGACAGAAGAGAGTAATGGTACAGACGGGTACTCTGATGACTGATTGCATAATAAATATTTAGGGCAGGGGGTCAGGAAATCCCCAAGGCACGTGTTTTGGGGACAGTCAAAATCTATCACGTAATTAGGGATCGAATGGTTTTATTTTTGCATGCTGCCAACATCAGTCAACATAATAAAATCGGGAAAATTTTCAGAGATTGCTTTGCCGTTTGTTGAAGGCAAACAAACTGTGGACAGATCATCAGAATTTGAAATACTGGGAAATGATGTGACAGATGTGCAGAACGGAGGTTTTTTTGACATTTACATTCTATGATGTAGAAAATTGATTCAATGAAACTTTTCTCCACATTTTTATTACAAGTGATCTGCTTTGTTGTTTTATACTTCGTTAAGATTAGATTTTTTTTATAATCAGGTTGAAGCAAAGTTGTGCTGTGCTAATGTCTCATGTGTCTTTACGACGTAAAATAATTATATGTATTGAGAACTTCTGTTTCTTGATTGTTTACCATTTTTGGAACCTGTAAAGTTAAAGATTTTTCTCACTTTATTTTAATATATAATCAATGAAAAAGAGTTTAGTCTCATGTGTCTTTACGACGTAAAATAATTATATGCATTGAGAACCTCTGTTTCTTGATTGTTCACCTTTATTGGAACCTGTAAAGTTAAAGATTTTTCTCACTTTATTTTTAAGGTATAGTCAGTGAAAAAGATTTTAAACCTTATTATACCCCCCGCAAACGAAGTTTAGGGGGGGTATATTGGAATCACCATGTCCGTCTGTCTGTCCGTCTGTCTGTCCGTCTGTCCGTCTGTCTGTAGACAAGATTTTGTCCAGAGCGTTTCTTGGAAACTATTGCATAGATCTGTCTGAAAATTTGTACACTTATTATTCACCATATGAAGGTTTGCACCTGGTATTTTCATCATGATTGAATAATTTTTCTGCATTTTACAGGTGTTTTTTTTCATTTTTATTATGTGGTTTTGTCCTGACCTTTTCTCAAAGACTATTTCATAGAATTGTATGAAAATTTGTACACTCATTATTTACCGTATGAAGAAGTGCACCTGGTATTTTCAACATTATTTCAAAATTTTTCTGCATTTTACAGATGTTTTTTTTTTCCATTTTTATTGACTTAGTCATTTTGGGTTTATTTCTAAGGTTTGAGGCACAGAATCTAGAACATCTGTACAAAAATGTTAACTACAGCTTAAAACTATTCATTAAAACAAAAAAAAATCACCAAGTATTAAAAACAATTTTTACATTACACAGCAGATAGTGTAAATCCATTTGTCCTTTGGGAGTAATGAGTGGACATGCATCCAGTTAAAGATTAATTAATGAGTTCAGTGCGGGAAGCTGTTAGGGCATCTCTGATCAAGCATGTGTTATCTGTATCTCCTGGGAATCTAAAGATCTCTGTTCTTTAATTCTCTTCATTGTAATTTATTGTCTGTCATAGTACATAGTTAAAGGATGACCAGCCTTTCATTTTTAAAATGAATTTGATATAAAGTTATCAAGATTAATTTGATTTTGTAATTAATTGATTTTTTTTTCTTTTCAAAAAATCAATTTGCAGAATGTCATGTCTCAAAAAGATGACAGATAGTTGCAATTTATTTTTTTCAATGTATTAAAAACAATGTAATTACAATGTATTGGTATTGATGTTTTATTAGGTTGTTCCTTAGTTTCATTCTTAAAAAAAATATAATGAGCAATTAATGTTAATAAGAAAATTGTGAACACCTCTTTGATCCATAAAATATTAGTGATTTGGCACCTCTGAAAAACCCAGCGGGGGGTATTTGTCCCTTTTGGACAGTTCTAGTTTTTTATATATTTTTTCAGCATTTAGAATTATAAAATTCACTTGTTAGAGCGAACAGATGCAAGCTTTATTAAACCCTAAAAGTGCTAAAAGGATTAGTTATCTTTATATTTATGTACTTATTAAATGATCTGAAATTTTTTTATTTGAATAATAAATTTAAGACGGGATCGGTGAACGTTTGTGTTTTAAGTGTTTAATCCCTGTGAAATGCCGTTCTTCCTTGTCAATAATAAAGGGTGAGGAAAGTGGAAGCTAAGGTTTAAAGTTAATCCTGCATGTTCTACATGGATAAATCCAAATACCAGCTTGTAGCTGATAAATATTGATGTGACAATGGTATTCATCTTTTTTTAGTTTTAAATTTTATTTTCTTAAACAGATAATAATGATTTTTATGTTATATGGGTTTCTAAGGTGACTTATTGCGATCTATTTCAGTACGTCAACGTGTTAACTTCGACTTACATAGTTCTTTTGTTCCTAAATTCTAACAATTTTAGAACACAGTGTGAGTAAAGTTAGTGTGAGTAAAGATGAAATGAAATATGAAGATAACAAACAGTATTCAATCTCGAAAGTCCAATGAAACGATACAAATTTGGAGCAGAGCAAACACGAACCTTAAAGTTTAGAGGTGGGATCAGGTGCCATGGAGGAGTGAGCATCCCCTGCCGACCGGTCACACCCGCCGTGTGCTCCTTGCGATAATCGAAAAAAAACCCGGAAATATCAGTAGACAGTTCAGTGTATAAATTATGGCCTAACAATTAGTATGAAAAATATCAGTCAGCATTTGTCTCAATGATAGATTGTATGTGCTGACAGGTTCATTGTATCGACCGTAAAACTTTCGAAATGATGACTTCAAAAGAGAATGTTGATATCCTTGTTTCATCAACTTGTTTGTCAATAGCTTGCCTTGTTTTAGAAATTGTTCATACGAAGAGCATGCTCTTGCGTATCGAATCAACTGAGAGACATAAACCCCATATGTAGGTGATAAGGTTATATCGCTACATAAGTAAAGGAAGTTGAGGATTGAAAAGTAAATGCGAATTTTACAACTCCCCGTTTCTCCAAAGGGAGATGGAAACAAAATCATTAACATTTATTTAAATGACTTTCTCCTTACTTCTGGGCATTTATAGAAAGCAAATTGCCTCATAATTATAACGCACGTATAAACCTCTACTAAAATTGAGAAGATCGTAAATCTTTGGTCCATTGTTTAGTCTTCACGGTAATACAGTTTGTTGAGGTTAGTTATTAAAAAAGCCTAATATCTTTTTGCATATTTCTTTACCCATGGACCTCCAGTAGACGTACCTTAAGCATCTAGCTCTCTAACAAGCTTTTCAAATTCGTGACCATGTGGCCACGCTTGTACATACTTTAAAGCATATTGTTAAAAAAGACTTTCTCGATCTGTGCATGAAATCCGCACCATACTAGTATACGTTTTCCTCTTAATGTATTAAATGATCTATTGGAGTTGTGTTACAGAGAATCTCATAGTTTAAATTTGTCGCTCATAGTTCAAGAATTAGAAAATTTGAAAGTACGGTCTGTGACTGGACGACAGGGAATGATTATTCCTCGTAGGCACCGATCCCAGGTAGGTTGTTTTCAGAGGTCTGTGTATTTAACTGTTTTCTCGATTTGTATAATATTGATAAGATCGATCACAATTCATTATCTTCACTTTTTAATCATAAGTGTCACCAGTTGTGTGGGTGATATATTTAGTGTTCCATTTTCTTACACCTAAATAAGCCAAATATATTAGTTATATACACGATCTTTACAGAAGGCGACCCAAGCCCTGTACTTAGACACCAATAACTGGCAAATCTCGGTTTACATTGTATTACATTCTACAAATAATCTTGATTATTATGACAAAGCATTCTTAGTATGTATTTATATTACTCGAAAAGTGACTACGGAGAATCTTAAATTGGCAATTCAAACAACTTTCTGTTGTAAATATATTGTTTTTGTGGAAGGTTCAGTGACTTTTAACAACCAGTGTGTGAGTTTGTGTCCTTATGTCAAACATACAATTGAGGAATTCATAACTAGATCGATCTGTTCCTGCTTTAACTGCGGAAAATAAGGCGTTGATATTTAAATCTACGCAGGCAAACTGTACAATTTTGTACCAAGCTAGGACGTTAAAACATGCCTTTAATTTTATTATTGTTTCTGAATGACGTTTCTATCAGTGGAATACAACTCGGATCTCGTGTTAAAGACGGAATAATGAATATCAAAGTTGTACTATATTTGGGCAACGTAAGGTAGCAAAATAAATAAGTAAATAAATATTTTTTTTTTTAAATGAAGAAAAGAAACAAGCCCCTAAACATGACACATGATTAGGAAGTGAAATATTTTATTTACAAAAGGTTGGAAAGAAAACAGAAATAAATTGTCCCTTTGCATTTATTTGCACACGTTTTAAATTGAGTTTTTAAAGCACCATTCGTGTAAGATGTTGTTTCTATCGTAATTAAATATGATGAGTCACAATCATCGAAAAATTGGTACATGTGGAAAATTATGACAGTTGTTATCTTTATTAAAAAAGATTGATGTGTGAATATATACTATGGAAGCCATGATTTCAAATATTTATAACGGATGTCAGGAGCTATAGTTAGTTAAAATCAATTTTATAATTAAAATAAAGAATTGTCACAATTCAGAGCAGCCAAATATTGAAGCTATACTGAAATATCTAAGGGAAGTTTATTAAACTGCACTCTAACTCAAAAGCCTCTTAAAGCTTATTGAAAGCGACTATTGCTTTAAATGTTAATAATTTTGATACCCATCATGCAAGATATAGGTATATGTAAACAACAGATTTATGGATTTGTACTAAACAGTTATATTTTTGGAAGGAATGTAACTTTCATATTGTCTTGGGCTTGGTAGACTGCGAACTGTCGTAAATCATTTATTTATAACACCAATACCGCTACCATCTCTGTTTATTCAATAAAAATAGGAGACAAGGATCTTTATAACCAAATCAGAGGCATGAATATAGAAAGGCGGAATGTGTTCATTTAATTAAACATTGATCAATGGACTAAAACTGTCATTCAGACAATTTTGATAGTTACGATAATTAACTAGCTATTCAACACGAAATCTTCTCTTCATTAGTTTTTTAAACAAAGAGCAGTGCTTTTGTCTAAAGGTTGTATTCCTTTTGCCCGTGACATTTCGTTCTTTACCATACAAGCTGATAAATTACAAACAGTGTATTATTTATCATGTTACGACTGAAGTCCTGTGTGTACTCTGCCGGAAGTAGTCACGCGAGACGAAAGGTCTGCTAACCTACTGCAGAAATAAAATGTAAAATCATCGATGTTAAGCTATTTACAAGCAAATAATCGATTGATATATTTAGAGACCTTGTTACAGAGTAAAGTATAGGGCATCCAGAGAATCCATACATGTATCTTGTCAACATTGACATGTCGTATTGGGTAAAAATAGATAATGAATTAAAGGAAAGGTTTTTGTTTGATTTTTTTGAAATCTATCGTTATAATATGACATTTATTAATTAAAAATGACGAAGCTTCTCAGCAACTTATGTTTTTGCAGATTCACCTCAAAATCTAAAAACAATTCTATTTCCATTCTACAGGG